GGAGATAGTTGAAGAACTTCTGGAAAAAAATTTTCTGAACATCCTGAAGCTCAATGAACCCCAGAAATCAAAGATAAGGACAGAATCCTGAAAGCAACTAGGGAAAAGAGAAGTGTAGCATACAAAGACAAGTAAATCAGATTAAGCTGAGATCTCTCAACAGAAACCATGCAGGCAAGAAGGCAATGGGGAGACACATATAAAACCCTGATAGAAAAAAACTGCCACTCCAAGAATCCTCTACCCAGCAAAGCTGTCAATCAAATACAGTGATGTAATCAAAACATTCCAGGATAAACAGAAGCTAAGGGGTTTTGCCAAAGCCAACTCTGCTATGAGAAACATCCTAAAGGAATTTCTGTGGACAGAGAACCAACAAGAACAGACAACAACCAGAGGAAGACGGACATGGGAGCATCACTGTCAACTCAGTCAACAAATGGAAGAGTCAAATAGAATAAAATTATAAGAACAGAGGATCTGGGATGTCAGTCTATGATCAAAACAATTACAGTGTGAAAGAAGGTAAAAGAGGAACAGAGATCCAGGTGGTGGGAAGGTCAGGTAGATTACAGCATAAAACAGACTGTCTTAAATGGAGGAAAGAATTAATGGAATATAAGGTAGCCACACCGGGGTTGGGGTGAGGGGGTTTAGTTTGGGTGTTGGGGAGGGCAATACAAGAAGGGGGAGGAGGTAGAAGAACAAGATAGGGGAACACTGAGACAGGTTTGCCTGTCCTAAATGGGACAGAGGTAAATAGTGATGCGTACTCAACCTTGGAACAACAGTGCTTTGTGATACAGGGATCCAGGCATAGCTTGAAGAGGGGAAATAATACTAAAATGCTTGAGTGTCTTATGAATATTGTTTTCCCTTGCCTACTATTGTAAAATAGACACAAGTGGGATAGAAAGGAATGTTGGGAAACATGATTAGAGACTTGTAAGCCCGTTTTCAGCCTATAACTGATTGGAATACCTAAAATGGGTTCTAGAACTTGCCCAGTGAAATAGGCCTCTTGCAACACCTTTGCAGAATATAGGTCCTTAGGTGGAATCCTGTCCCATCCAGAACCTTCTGAGGTGGGACATTCCCACTAGCAAGGACAAGCAGACCAGCCTGGAACAGCTAGAGTGACAGAAGATACATCTTCAAAGAAAGATCATCAGGAAAATCCCAAAACAAAAATGTCAGCATGACTGGCTACTACAAGAATAAGCAAGCTGTTTACCAGGAAGCCATCAAGGCAAGCAATCAAGTTCCTTCAGGACAAACTCCCCTCTAAGATTGAAACTCAAAGGGAACACACAAAAAAGCATGTAAGCCTGCTGGCAACCACATTGGTAAATGGAAGAGGGGGAAAGGCAGCAATGAGTAAATGTACTGAGTTCAATCATAGTCCATTGACTCCCGTTGACTTGGAGATGAGAGAGAGAGAAGAGGAAGGGCTACGTGGTCCAAAGTGTGGTGAGACCTGAGGACACTTGAGCCCATGGACAAGGACATAGCCACAGAAGGCTAGAGCTGAGTGAGAGTGAAGCATCCAGCTGATATGAAGTGAGGGGAGATGCACAAGAACACCCAAACTTGCAGACAGTACCCATTTGACCTAGCCTCATTGGCTCGATAATCAGAACTCAACTAAAGTAAGATTACAAAAAAAAAAAATTTTGATTTTTTTTTTTTGATAAAGGAAACAAGAGTAAATTGCTACAATTTGATGAACCTGACCTATACTTAGAGAGTTAGTAACTCTAAATACCAAAGAGTCTTCACATCAAGTATCAATGCTATCCACTCTGTATACAGGGTAGATAGTGATGGGCAACTTAGACATTGGCTACGTAAAATTCAGGGGCAATAAAGGCATGAAGTGACTGGCTTACAAGATTTCAAGAGGGAGTTTAAGAGTATGGGGGGGGGGGGGGGGGGGGAGAAAGTCTCCACTAAAGAGTTTTCATCTTGTCTAGATGAGCCTGGTGAAAAGAGATGGGGATAAGATTCATATGATTCAATAGTGAATAATTGTTATGACTAATTGTGACTGTCACAATTGTAAAGGTAGAAGTTTTGTAACAAAAACGGGAGTGGTTAATCTTACAGTCCAGAAACAGAGGACCCTAGGACCATCAAGGGAGAAAGGGAGAAGAGCACAAGCAGAATGGGGGACCTTATCCAGAGAAGCAGTGACACCAGAGAGGGAGGCAGAGATGGGGGTGTGGAGAGGGGGAGTGTCTGAGGACCAGATTCATGGGAAGAGATGGACTAAGATCCGGTGGCCAGGAGCAGACTTGCAGAATGTGCCCTTTGGAGATGTAAATTATTATATATGCCTGAGTGTTTTGTTTAAAAAAAAAAAGCTAAAGTGGATAGAGAGAAATACTGTTAACTGATGGTACATGGAGGAGATTATAATGATTGTAATGAAACAAGGTTCATGATTTGTTGAATGTAGAACTGATGATCTGCCCTGTAAACTTTCACTCAATCTGCAATAAAAACCTTAAAATAAAAACACACACACACACATTCATACATGTATACACATTTTAGCATCTGCATTTTAAAAGAGCCCACATATGGTTTTTGGAAGTAAGGGATCTTTTTATTAAAGTGGCAAATTTTCAAATATAATTTCCTGAAAAATGTTATCTTGTTCCCACTGATATGTGAAATCCCTTTATTTTCATTGATTTTTGGTTCATTTTATTCATTTACATGTACCACTAATAATCGCACATTCAAAGTCCATTTTGATAGGTAACTTTTTTTTAATTTTAGACATTATTTTTACCTGTTAAAACATTTGGATGAGTTTTTAAAATCCTTTTGTAAGTTTCAAGATTTCTGCTGGGATTTCTGTTTTCTTAGGAAGCTGTTAAGTTTCTAAATTAATCAGAGAGGAATTAACACTGTAATATTTTGACTTTCTGCCTTGCAAGTTTTTCTCCTTTTCTGTTTTTGTTTGTTTCAAGTTCTTTTTCTCTCTCAATAAAGGAGTTTCATTTTCTTCCTATCAAGAACCAAAGCCACTGCCATCCAGTTGAACCTAGCCCATAGTGAGTGTATAGGAGACAGTAGGAGGGCCCCAGGGGGCTTTCAAGGCTTTCTCCCACAGAGCTGCTAATAGGCTCGAACCATGAACCTGCTGGTAGCCCTTGAGCACTTAGCCACTGTGCGATTGGGGGTCCATTTCTTCCTATTGTTGTTAAGTGTTGTCAAGTCTGACTAATTCAGTGACCCTGTATAGGGTTTCTAAGGCAGCTGGCGAGCTTGAACTGCTAATCTTGCCATTAGAAGTACAGTGTTTACCCCACTACAGCACTACAGCAGGACTCTTTATGCCTGTGTTAAGTGCCATCAAGTCAGTTCTGACTCATAGCAATCCTGTACAGGGTTTCTGAGGAGAGGCTGGTGGGTTTGAACTGCTGACCATGTGGTTAGCAAATGTTTATCATACATTGCCACAACAGAACTCCTTTCTTCCTATAGGTCTCATATATTTAGGTTTATTACTCAGTATTTGATGGGTTTTGTTAGGATTGCAAATGGGATCTCTTATGTATTATAGCTGATCATTGTTTCCAACTAGTTTACAGGCCCCATTACTAAACTTTGGTCGTTGTTAAGTGCCATCAGCTGGTTCTGACTCATAGATACCATGTATACGGTTTCCGAGGCTTTACACCTTTGCAGGAGCAGAAAGCCTCCTCTTTTTCCTGAAGAGCAGCTGGCGGGCTCAAGCCTTGCACCTTGAGTTTGCAGTCCAGAGCTTGCTATATAGAGTCACTTACCCACTCCAAATGTAACTAGTTCTTTTCAGTTTTCTGGACAATAAACTTGCTGGAAATACCAGTTAGGTTGGTGCTCATGGTTTGGTGATGCTTACAGTCCACAGGGTTGCTTTGTGACTCTCTAGCAGTGCCCAGGAACCCTGTTTTAGAGGGAGGTGGGAAGGAATGTGGATGAACAGGTTGATAAAAAGTTCAGGGTTTCCCTGGACTAGGGCAGTAGAAGGACTGGTGCAGGGTGTTGAGAAAGCTCTTAAGAGTGTACCACAGTCTAGACTAGGAAGGATTCCTATACTGAACAGTCAGGCAGGGTTTAGGCATGAAGAAGAGAGGTGGAAGGAGACGAAGTTGTGACCCTGGAATGGACCCTGAGATGTCAAGTTTTAGAAGTGATGGCTTCCCAGCATGGTGGCTGAGATTTGTGAGGAAAGACTGATTCCATTTAAAGACAAGCTCAGAGAGCTTGTCGCTTACCCAGAGTCTTCCTAATTCCAGTCAGTGGCAGAACTGGGATTGAAGTATTGCTCTTCTGTACTATACTAGCTCATATTCTGTCTTTGTTTTTCAGGTTCACTTTAGAACAGTAGACTGACTGAGAGAGCCAGTAGAAAGAAGAGCACAGCATTGCAGATAGGAAAGAGGGAGGCTCCTCATGGTCCGGGCCCCTCAGTGAATGGGGAGGAGGGACAGCTGGACCATTGGGCCTTCCTATTGGCCCTCAAACCCCATCAGGCCAGAGCAGCACACCTGTGTCCCTGGTCCTGAAGCTCACATTGTAGTCCCCATCATGCACAATGGCCCCCCATCACATGCCATTGTCTCTGTCACACATGTCATGTCCTAACCGTACACCCAAGCCCTCCATACACTGAGTGTGTTTACTTACACCTCATGCCCCCATTTCTCACGTACCCACATACGCTTTGGGTCCCTACTACTCACCCGGACTCCTCACATGTTGTGTGCTTAGCTCATGCCCACTTATGCTATGTCCACAGAGTGCATCGGACGGCTTCTGGAAATCTGTGGCCACTCGAGTGCCCAAGGAGCCCTCTGAGATTCGCATCCTCAACCCCTATTTCATCCAGGAGGCGGCCTTCACGCTCATTGGACTGCCCTTCAACAATGGCCTCATGGGCCGGGGGGTGAGATACTTGGGCCCCTGGGAAAGAGGAGGGGAACTGAGGCAGAGGTGCCTTGAGAAGAAAGGGAGGGTGGCAGGGTGTGGCAGTGTTCTGGGATGTGGGTTTTGAAGGAAGGAACTCCATTCTCAGGATGGGATCAGATCTCAGCTCTAGGGAACGTCACTGAGGATCTTGGTCTGACCTAACTCTCCAGCTGAATCCTACATTCCCCAACTCCCCTTCTCCAGAACATCCCAACTCTCGGCAGTGTGGCAGTGACCATGGCACTACACGGCTGTGATGAAGTGGCAGTTGCAGGCTTCGGCTACGACATGAGCACACCCAATGCACCCCTGCACTACTATGAGACTGTGCGCATGGCAGCCATCAAAGAGGTGTGGAGCCAATGGGGGACGGTTTCTGGGCTGGTTGGAGGGGTGGACTTCCCACATCCAGGACAAGCCCTGACTACCGGTGCAGAGATGAACAGTAAAGGGCTGAGCCAGGGCTGGTCTGGCTGCCCAGAATGGGAAGAAAGTCTGGCCCCTCTTACGTCCACCCCACGGTTAAATTGTGACACTGGAAGCCCATGAATCCTCCATGCCAGGCTCTCCCCAGCCTCGTAGTGAACCCAGTGCCCAAATCTTCTGCTTTCTCCCTGAGCTCTCCCTCCACGGGAGCCTGCCTGCCATGTCCCCTGCTCCTACCTCCTCCAGGCAGCATTCCCTAGCCATTGTGCACTAGTCTTTGGCACCAGCTCAAAGTCATCCTCTCCACTGTGGTCCCTGCTTACTCCCAGAGGACTTTCTTGTCCCCTTTGTTTCTTCCTTACCTTCCTTACCTCTCAGTCCCAGGACATGCCCCCTGTACTTCTACCCTGCTTCGCCACTACTGAGCATTGAAGACTTCACCTGGCAGTGCCTCCCAGGCCATTCAGATGCTCAGGTGCATCATCACATGAGATGGACACACTAGAGTTGTCCTAGCCTGTCTGTCAGCCTCTCCTGGCACTTGTCCAAAATTGCATATTGAAAGTGTGAACCTCTCTTGCTTCGATCACACTCCTTCCACAGAGCCCAGCCTGAAAATTGGAAACCTTGGGCCAGTGCTTCAAGCAGCTTCTCTACTACGTCTAGGTGGCTGAGAGTTGTTGTAAGAAATCTCTCATCTGTGCAGATTCACATTACTAAAAAATCAGGGGTTCTAACTCAACTGAGCTCTCATCCTGTGCATTGGATTTTCCCATGCCTTTATCCTATCTTCCCACTCCATCCCACCCCAATGCATCCCTTTCCAGCTTTACACTCTCCTCAGTGAGAAAACTGAAGCCATTGCTGGGAACTCTGTCCACCTCCTGCTGGTGAGCCACTTGGCACTTCTCACTCCTTCCACTTTGCTGCCTGGCTTTCCTCCTCACCGCTTACCTGATGCAGCTCCTACCAAGGCCACCAATAACTCACCTCAGGGCTGCCAGATCCAATAGACACAGTAAATCGCATCTTGATCTCTCAGAGACGTGTGGTGCTGACCACTCCTTCCTCTTAGAAACGCTCCTCGGATTAGATTGGAGTCCCTCGTTTCTTGGGTTCCTCCTGCTTTGCTCGCCACTTGCTGTCTTTCTCTTGCTCCATTTACTTGTTTCTCATTCACCCATGAAAACTGAGCATCCTAGGCTATCTTCTGTTCCCACTTCGCATGTTCTCTGTGAGATTCCCATCCATACCTATGAGCTCAGCACCATCTGTGTTGTGGTAGGTGTTTTGGGTTCATTCAGACTACCTGAAGTAATTGGGAGTTATTTTAAGAATAGATCAGGAACTTGAGAATCTCCTGGGAAACTAAAAGCAGGCCTCCAGCTGGACCTGCCGTTGCCTAGAACAGGTTTCTGGAATGGGAAGCTCTGGGACTTTCTTGTCCCCCTCAGCAGTGGCTCCAGCCTCATAATTCCTGTGACTCTGGTCTTTCCATCTCTGCCACTCTTCATCTCTTCTTGCTCCTTGTCTCCCCACCCCCACCTCCCCAAATGCCAACTGCTCATCCTAAACTGTTCTCACAGCTTTTATCTGCGTCATGGCTCTGTTTAATGTATATATATCTTTGTTGTTGTTGTTAAGTGCCATCAAGGTGGTTCCTACTCATAGCGACCCTGTATAGGGTTTCCAAGGAGCAGCTGGTAGGTTGAACTGCCGACCTTGTGGTTTGAAGTCCATTGCTGATGTTACAGCTTCACACCAGGCGTCCGTCCATTGTATGTTCCTTTTACATGGCTTTATGGGAAACTTGAAGGCAAATATGGAATGATATAGACAAAGGCAGTATCAGATCATGAAGGGCTTTCTGTGTGCTAGCACTTTATTCTGAAGGCAACAGGGAGCCATGGAGGAATTTGAGGCTTCAGATGAACAGGCTTACAGTAAGGTCACTGTAACTGCAGTATGGAATAGAGGGGACGAGGCAGGAGTAGAAAGTAGTTGGAAGGCTAGTGCAGCAGTCCAGACAAGAGATGATGACTCCTGAACCACAGTGCTGTGCTGGGACTGGGACAGACAGAGACTACAAAACAGTGGCTCTCATATCAGCAGGACCTAGGGATTGCCTCCGTACTGCAGTGAGACAGAAGGGACACTCCTTCCCTGAGCCCCTCTCTGGTATAGGCTAGTCCTTTTCTTCCACCTTTCTACATCTTGGTTTTCAAGCTATTACTCTTCCATCACCATGTAAAACCCATCCAGTTCCAAGGGTCACATCACCCTCTGTCCTACCCTCCATGCAAAGTATGTACAGATCTAGGCTCTAAAATCCAGTGCCCTGGGTTCCTATCCTGGCGCTGTATTTTGCTTCTTTATCTATAAAAGGGATAATAATAGGACCAATTCCTAGGGCTAGGGAAAGAGTGAATGTAGTCATGCTTAAAAAAAAAAACTAACACATAGTGTTGTAGTTATGTGCTGTTGAGTCAGTTTAGCGACCTTGTATAGAGTTTCTGAGGCTGTAAGTCTTTACGGGAGCAGAAAGCCTCATCTTTCTCCTGTGGAGCAGCCGGTGGATTCGAACTGCTGACCTTGTGGTTAGCAGCCCAACAAATAACTTACTACACTACCAGGCCTCCTTTGAGGTGTGCATAGTAAGCATGCATAAATATTAGTCATTATTAATCTTTTTATCTCCACTCATCACTGTTCCGTACTAAACTCCTGAATGAGGACTCACCAAAAAAGTTGGTGTTTGGGTTTAGAATTCCTTGGGAGTCTGCAGTATTGAAGTGAATGTTTCAGAGCCGTGGTCTTGCCATTGCTTCACCTCTACTCATCTTGATTGGCCCATTCTCTAGGGCCAGCAAGAGTGTATCGAATGTGAAGACAAATGGAGTAAAGATTAAATGCTGGTAAAGTTGTTATTTAAAGTATTTCAGAAGAATTCATAAAAGAATCCAACAGAGAGAGTAGGGAAAAGTTAGAAAGGTGCAAAGCTATGGAGGCATTGGAGAGAATATATCATGAAGAGAACATCAGCAATGTCAGGTGTTACGGAGAAGTGCAGTAAGATGAAGACTGAGAAATGACCATTGGGTATACCAACTAAGTGGTTACTGCTGACAAAGAATGGTGGGTAGGAGCCAGACTGTCGTGGCTGAACAGTGACTGAAGTAGAGACTGCAAGTGGCTGGCACATAGGAAAGTGCTCTTTTGGAAAGTTTGAATGAGAAGGCAGGGAGAGAGACTGAGCAGATGTTAGACGATGAAGTGGGTTCACATAGGAACTTGTGACCCAGCACAGAAGTCTAGGCTAGCAACAGATTTGTGAGCTGTGAGTACAACTGCTTATTCAGATAGAGGAAGGGCATGGATGTGATTTCCCAGGAGGAACATAGCAAATAAGAAGTGCAGATTGTCAGGGCAGAAGCCTAGAAACATAATATTTAATGGCTGAGTGAGTTAAGAGAAGCCAAAGGTAAAGACCTTAAAAAAGAGCCATCACAAGGAGAATTCCTCTGAGTGTGTGGACTCTGATTTTGTATGAACCGCTGTGTCCAGAATCAAGGGTCCTGGAAAGGCTGAGAACCCAGGGATACCAGAATCCTGCCCCAAACCATAGCCAACCCTCCCTGCAGAATTCCTGAGGAAGATGAAGTCACAGGAACAAGGACAATGACAGACAGTTATATCTTTGCTGTGAGCCTGGTTTAGGCCTCATCCCCCAATACACGGAACTCAGGTAAACTTGGCTATTGTCTGTATGGAAGGAAAAGTTAGGAAAAGACAACAGCAAAGGGAATTGCCTGATACATGAAATCTACCCCAGGGTAGATTTCTTAGCTTACTTTTTTGTTGTGAAAATTGTCAAACATATTTACAAGTCCAGGTGGTCCCCAACTAACTTAGGGTGTGTATTCATTGACCCTGTGGTCAGTTAGATCTGACATTGCTGAAGATTCTTTTTTTTTCCCCTTAGTTTTCATTATTATTGCTTTTTTTTTTTTTTTTTTTTAAATCAGTATCTGTGAACCGACTCGATGGCACATAACAACAACAACAACAATCAGTATCTGTAAATCCAATCTTTACCCTTGGGACTTGGAAACACTGCTTATATACTAGCATGTATTTTAATACACATGTCCACAAAAAATGGATGGCATTGGTACTGTGTCAGTTGCAGTAATAACTTCCCTTGTAAATGGTTCTGGACCATCTGGATTATCTCTGGGGATAGGAATGGCATTTCTAATCAGGAAATTAGTAAGAGTTTTCTGTATGGTCCTTCTACATATTACTCACAATAAGATATTCCAAAAATTAAAAAATCCCAAAACCAGAGGTCGTAAGTACAGTTCATCAGAATCTAACAAGTTTTAAGCCAGGGACTTCCTGTACAAAGACAGTGTCATCAACTCCATATTCCTTTCACCAACTAGCAACACGTGGCCAGTGTTTCAAATACTCTTCTCACTTCTTACTGCCTTACTGATTATTTGGAAGCAAGTCTCAGACATCATATCAGTTCATCCATAAATACTTCAGGAAGTGTCTCTAAAAGATAAGGACTTTATTTTTATGTACATATAAAATAAAATAATTCTTTAATGTCATCACATCAGCAATTCTGTGTTAACCTTTTAACCCTCAGTGACTCCCAGCTGATGCTCTTGAAACTGGCCCATTAGATTGGTCGTTTCTCTCTAAGAGAGATTATATGTGATCACTTTATGAGTTTTTGTATTTGCTTGAATCTTGGCCCTGCCCTCTCAGCCTACTTTCTTACCTATAAACTGCATTCAATTAACTTTTATTGAGCAGTGTCAGACACTGTTCTAGGCATTGAAGCTACAGAAGTAAACAAAAGGAAACCTCAGACAGTGAGACCAATGCTAGAATCCAAGGACTGAGGGCAGGTGCCCCAGGGGTCTACCTCCAGGAGGGGTGGTTCCCAGGTGGCAGAATATACAGACATGAGCTTCATTCAAAGCCAGTGGGAGTGTTTAGGGAGTTTGGAGAGCGACAACCTTGAAGAAGCAGCAATAGAGTGAGGAAGACACTGCCCGCCTTCAGTCTCTGTGGGAAGGTAGAACATGAGGGAGAAAACAATTTCCACGTGAGAGTGTGTCTGAAGGCCTTGTCCATAGGGGACAGCCAGGCTTGTGAGTAGCACAAACAGTTCGAGGGAGTTTTCAGAGAAGAATAATGTAAGGCATTTTGTTGATAACCACCAGAATTTCAGCTTGAAAAGATTTGAAAGTTTGGAGAGGGTTGACTGGGTTGGAATACGGGTGAGACAAAGTCATATAAGGATTATTTAAGTGTCGAGGACCGGCCTCGACAGGGGAGTTCGGTTCACGAAGTAGGGAGATCTGGCGGCGACAGAGACTGAAAAAAAGTACACACAAAGACGCAACGAGAGAGACAAAGAGACACCCCAAAACGAGAGTGGATGCAAAACTGGCAGGCAGACCCTGGACTACAGGCATCGTGGCCCCTGCAGGCAGTAAATGCACAACCAGCCCTGCAGGCAGTAATGCATGCGGGCTTCAGTCTGCGCCCCCTTTTTATTTCAGGGAGGGGCTTTACACAAAGGCAGAAAGGGATTATTAAGACAGGGTACAGAAATGAAATGTGATTAATCGTTCAAAACAGGACACCATGATTTACAGGAACAAATTCTAAAATATACATCACAAATTGTCTTGATAATCTAACATCCTTAATTTTCCAGAAATTCAAGCAAATTGTTATAAATTACTTTTTAGGTTCGAATCCCAAGGCAGCAACTCAAGGTTTCTCAAGGCTAATTAACATACCTATAGCACTTAATCTTGAATGGGAAAAGGTGAAAAGGATTCAAAAGGTCTGAAAGGAGTCCAGCTGTTTCAGCTACCTGGCTTAGGCTTGCAGGAGGGAGGACACCTAGGTTAATGGTTTGCACCTGGGGACGATTTGAGAAGACTGTCACTATTGTTCCTTGAACAATACCCCGGAATTCGCCAATCTACTTTGAGTGAATTCCTTGGGCAGACTGTCTCCAGAGTCTCCCAGCAAATTTGCCTTTGGAACTTTTTACAGCCTCAGCTTTAGGAGGGGCTTTTGTTTTAATATTTGTCCATGGGTATCAAGGGTTCATGTATTAAGTTAATATCAAACATAACTGAATAACTTGATAAAGAACAGTTTTGCCATGCTTGCCAGGTGGCCAGAGTTTGTTCCTCAGAGAGATTTGTTCCCTTACGCACTGCCAACACAGTGGAGACATTAAGAGAGGCACATAAGAAACCATTTTCTCAGAAGCTACAATTACTGGAGTTCGAAGCATAGAATGAATAATAGGACCAAAGAAAATTATACAGAGCTAGCCCAACAGTGAGTTCGTAAACGCCAGTGAACCCAGGGCGTCCGGAGGTTACTTCCTTGGGCCCTCGGGGACCCTGGCTAGCCATCCTGAGTGGGGCCATCGTGTAGGATTTTTGTCCATGATACAGGGCCTCAACACCTCAGTGATCGTGGTCCCCAACATTTAAGTGTTTGACATCAGTAAATAGTGGCTGTGACAGTGATGCTGTGGGTTAGTGTCCTGGACTGCAAAGTCAGTTTGAATTGCAGGCTTAGCAGTTCAAGCTTACCAGTTACTCCTAGGAAACCTTTTGTAGGGTCGGAACCAATTTGATGACACTTACAACAACAGTCCTGTTATGGTGAGGCTCAATGCTGACAAATACCAGAGATCAGTTGTGTATGAATTATGATAAGGGTATTACTTGCATTCATTCATTCAGTCAGTCTTTTCTTCATTCACTGAGAGCCTTAGTCATCAAAGTTTCCCAGTGAGACTTAATGTGAATAGGAAGGAACCGGACTCTAACTGAAGATTTCCCCCAGAAAAACCCTGGAAAGCAGTGTTGTTGTTGTTAGCTGCCATCGAGTTGGTGCCTACTCATAGCAACCGTGTGCACAACAGAATGAAATACTGCCCAGTTCTGCACCAACCTCACAATTGTTGTGTTTGAGCCCATAGTTACTACCACTGTGACAATCCATCTTACCAAGTTTGATGTCCTTCTTCAGGGACTGGTCTCTCCTGATAATACATCCAAAGTATGAGAGACAAAGTCTGGCCATCCTTGCTTCTAAAGAGTATTCTGGCTGCACTTCTTTCAAGAACAGATTCTATTTGTTCTTTTGGCAGTCCGTACTTTCACTATTCTTCCATAACACCATCATTCAAATGAATCTTCTCTTCCGGAAGGCAGTATCTTCTAGCAATTTCCAAGTTAGTGGTGAAATTATCCACTTCTCCTCTGGTTGTGTGGCTCTCAGCAGCAGGATTTCATCAGCTGCCCTCAGGTCTCGAAGGTGGATTGCATCAGGTCAGAGAATGACTAAAGCACCCATGGTTGAGCTTTCCAGTGTTGGGCTGCATTTAGATGATTCATGTTGCCTGCCCTCAGGGTGCCGAAGAATGAGGTGTTATGGGACTGGGAGGGGATTGATGTCTGTGGGAACCAGGTTTTTTCCTCGGCTCTGGGGATGAGGATGGGTAAGTGTACATCCCCTAAAACATCCAAGTCTACAGGTAGCATCCTTCTGGGATGAGGAAAGCCATTGTTGCTGTTGTTATTCTGACTCTTGACTGCCCTGTATAGAGTTTCCAAGGAGCGGCTGGTGGGTTTGAACCACCGACCTTGCGGTTTCAACAGACCTTGTGGTCTAGTGTTTAACCTACAGCACCACACCAGGAAAAGGGCTAGCAGGTTCTTTTTTCCAGCGGCGGTGTTGGGAGTTCTAGGGCAGTGTCATCGTTGTCTTGTCTGCCCTTAGACTATCCACCTTCACAGGAAGAGGGCACCAAGCCCTGGGAAGATGCAGTAAAGGTTTGAACAGGGCCCTGACCCAGCAGCTACCCAGACTATCCAACCAGTCACATCTCCATCTCTTTCCTTTCAGTCCTGGACACACAATATTCAGCGGGAGAAAGAGTTTCTACGGAAGTTGGTGAAAGCACGTGTCATCACTGACCTAACCAGTGGCATCTGAGGTGGGCCCAGCACATGGCCACAGAGGCCCAGGCACCACCAGGAATAAGCAGCAGCCACCACCACCTGCCCACTTCACTGGCCTCAGTCTGGCTCTGCTGGAGAGGCACAGGGGCCTTCTGACCCAGAGAACAGTGCCAAGCAGCCCCAGTGGTAGCAAGGCCTTGGCAGCGTAGCCCGATACCTGCTGGAGGCCAGCCTCAGAGACCAGCATTCAACCTCACTCTCATCCTGGGTCCTTGAAGCCAGAGGGCCAGGAGGCAGCTGGCTGTGCCCAGCAGGCCCAGCATGCAGGAGGTGGGACACTAGGCAGCACGGCTGCCGGAATCATTTCTCCAATCAGTGTTTGGTGTATTCTCATTTTGTGAATTTGGGGAGGGGGGAGGGTAGGGATAATTTATTTTTAAATAAGGTTGGAGATGTCTAATTTGGTCCACTTGCCATGCATAGAGAGGCCCACTAGAGGGCCCATCAGACACTGGGTTCCAATCACTGGGCTCCCAGTAGGGTGGGAGTGCCTGACTGGCTTGTCCTCTTCTTTAAGGCCACAAGGAGGTGGGCAGGATCTCATACCAGCCTCCTTTAACTTATGACACTATTTGGCCTTTATTGGGGAGAAGATGGGATATTCCCATTCACCAGCCCCTAACTGCTCCAGGGGGAACCTCTGGAGTTACCCCTTCTGAGCCAACACTACAGCCCCTGGGCTAGAGCAGAGAAAGAGAGCTTCAAAGCTCAGGAGGGGAGGCCTGGCCCAATACAGTGGGAAGGGCGCCCTCCCTAGCTGCAGCTGACCCATAAAACAGGGCCCCAGGTCTGGACTGACCAACTCTTCAGCTGCGCTGGGTTTTAGCAATGAGACTGCTTTTGGCCTGCACCAGAGGGCAGTAAGGCCCAAAGACCTTACAGAGGCTGTGGCAGCCATTCGGGCAGTCATCATGGAAGCAATAAAGCTCTTCCCTGAACCTAGTTGCCTCTTGCTTTCTTGCTTACTAGAAGAGACCTCAGCAACTGTGCTAAACCCAAGGGTCATCTCTCCAGCCCCCTTCACTTCTCATGTCAACTGTAGGGCCTGGGTATCCACCAATAGGGTCTCTGGGGCCTCTCTTGTCCCTCATAATTCTGTAACCTTTTTGCTTTAAGAAAGACCAGCGGTATCAGAGCATACCCCCAGAGTCCAATCATGTGCCTCACAAAAGAGTCAGAAGACAGGATAGAGCCTGCAACTCTAGGACAGTGTCTCTGGGTCACCACAGCCGAGTTCCCAGCCTCCCTCTCCCAGCACAGAATCCAGCTCCCAGCATCCTCTGGTGAACTTTACAAAGGGTATTCTTACCCCCTCCAACCCTCCTCCTCCCCTCACTCTGCGCTGTAGAACTGATTCCTCCCCAGCATCCCAGGCAGGCCTGAGAACAAGGCAAACACATTCCTAAACTTTAGGCCATGAAGAGCACTTCCTGTTAGGCATGCCCACTGTGGCATTAAGTGCAGCTGACTGGCCTCTGAGCCTCTCCTGCCCTGCTCCTATCCAAGAGTCCATGCCGTCCCAGGTCCTCCCACAGGTGAGCCCCAAGGACAGGGTCCTACCCATGTGAAGGAGCCCTGCCCAACAAGCCTGCACTGCTGCTGCAGAAGCCTCCTCAGATGAGGGGAAAAGCAAGACCCTACCTCTTCCAGGCCCTAACTGAAGGACAGCTAGACCCCCCCACCAACTCTCCCGTGTTCAGCTCCAGTGCACAGCACATTCTCCTCGGCCAGCACCTCCTGCATTTGGACGGGGCACAGGCTGCATGTTTGTAATCAGCAGCTCCGGCTGTGAGAGCCCCAGCAAAACCACCTCAACTGGGCAGCCAATTACAGGAGGCAACAGAGAGTGGGCCTGCTCAGTGCCTGACCTGTCACGGAGGAGTCCTGTGAGGCCTGGAGACACTCAACACCACCACCAGTTCTCTGCAGTCTGCACAGAAGTTGTGGCTCTTGGCCTGGCTGTGCACCAGAAATCACCTGTACAGAATTGGAAACTTGCACATGCTCACCCTGAGATTCTGATTCAGGTCTAGGGTGGGGCCCAGATGTGGGTAGTTGCAAAAAAGGTCCACAGGTGGTTCTGCTGCATAGCCAGGGTACAGCTGGTACACACACGTTCTTCTGAGCACTCTCGTCCCCACCCATGGCTTCCAATGATCAGTTAGTCCACAGTTCCCAATGCCATCTTTCTCCGCTCTGCCCTAGGCCTGCCTACAAATCAGCTGCTTCCTGAACATTTCCACCAGGATAATCCACAGGCCCAACTCAACATGTCCAACCCCGTATTCAAGCTCCTACCCCCAGCCGCCCCTCCTCCACTGTGTCCTGTCCATTTGATCCCCACCCCCACCTAGCTGTGCTTCAACTGAGTTTTCAAAAGGGTGAGCTCCCAACCTGCTTCCAGACCTCATTCTCTCCAGCCACCTGTCCACCTCGCATCTGTCTGTCTGTCCCCAAACCATCATCTCAGGACGGCAGTACCTCCACTAAAATGCTTATTCTTTTGTTTAAATACGTCAGTGGTTGCCAGAGTCAGGGGAAAGCCCAGACACAGGATCTGGCCTTCTTGCTTCTCTCTCACATTACTCACCCCATACCCCTACCCCCATCTGCCACATGGCCAATATTCGGCTTCTGAAATTCTGCCGCTCCTACTTCAAGCCTCAGCTCATAAGTTCCTCTTCTGCAACCCCCTTCTCCCATCACTGCTCGCCCGGTGTCACGGTGAGCGACAGTGTTTGCACACCTGCCTCTACCTGCCTGCTCCAGGCAGCGACGGAGGTGAGCGATGAGGCGATGAGGGTCAGAGTTTGGATGGGCCCAGTGTGAGGCCTCCCCAGCTGGACAGAGCGGATGAACCCTCCAACTGACAGAATAAACTAGCGGAGATAAAAAGCTGAGCGTAATAGTTGCTGGGCGGCCGGGCCGTACCCCCAGGCAACGCGCACTGGAGGGCGGTGACCCAAGGAAGGGACCAGCCTGCCCTCCCTCCCCGCCCTCAGCCCAGCCCACTCCCTACTTTGCGTGTCTACAAACTGTACTCCAGTTTCCGCGCCTCTTCGCCGCCCGCGTTCTCCACTGTGTCCCAGCGCCGCACCCCCGCCCCTCAGTGCACCCAGCTGGGCCAGGTGGGGACCGGATCTGGAGGGCGGAGTGGCCAGGTGAGCCCAGAAAGGTGGGGCGGGGCGGGGGCGCTCCGGGCCCCACCCCGGGATCCGGTGACGCCGGGGTTGGAATTTGACACCGGACGGCGGCGGCGGTGGGCAGAAGGCTGCTGAGGGATGGAGTTGAGCCCGGCCCCCAGACACGGCCCACGGGCTTCTCCAGCCACAGGTCCTTCGGGCCTTAGCCCTTGCTGCGACCCAGGCCCCAAGCCTCACACCCGCGGTAAGCCGGCCCTTTTGCCCATCCCCTCGTCCCAGTCTGGCTGGATGCGTCTGGGGTTCGGGGATGCGGTCAGAATGGTCCCCCTTGACTCCCTTTCTTGCATTCTCCCTCTCTGGGCCCGCCGCACTGATTGCTCTTCGCCCCTCCCACGGCCCTAAGCCCCCCGCTTGTCGCTTGTCAGACCACGCTGGCCCCGTCGGCTCTGTGTAACATGAGGCTTCCGCTGCCGCTACAGGGTGTACGTACAACTGGCTGCCAAGGCCGCGCTTTTGGCTAAAAGAGACGTTGCCAGGTGTACAGCCCTGGGCATGAGCCATTTGAGCTGCGGGGGAAAGGCCGGCACTGGTTCTGAGAAAGTTGCCTAGAGAGCACACCTCAGGTCCTGTGGTGAGTATTGCTCGGGAAAGGCATGGGCTGGAGGGCCAATGGGCCCCAGAGGGGCCAGGAGGGAGAGAAGGCCTGAGCTGCCCTGGAGGGACAGGGGCTCCCTCTGGTGCAGACGGCTCTTAAGACTTGCTTGCTTGGACCTTTCACCAGGTCTTTTTGCCATCAGTGACAACGGGTCACAGATTGACGCCGTATCCAGTTAGCTGAGAAGTGCACACCTGGCCGTGGAGAACCACATTCGGGAGACCTGGGGTTGTGCCGTGGTGTTGGCATTCTGTGTGCTGGGGTAGGGAGTTGAGCAGGCCAGCTAGTCAGGGCTTGTGAGGACTCTGGGGCCCCAGAAACATGTTGGGAGTACTGGCCAGGAGAAAATTCATGGAGAGAACTTCTAGAGTAGTTGGTTGTAGGCTGCCAGACACACAAAGACTAGAAAGGGGACAACCTGAACCAGTTCTTAGAGTGGTTCAGTCCTGAGTGACCGGCTCAGGCCTGAATGGAGCTCAGGGAATGTAAAAGCCCACCCCTGTGAATCTGCAGGCTTGGTATATACTGCCCCCTCGTGGTCATAGGAAGCCATAACCCAAACCTCACATTCGCTAAGGGTCCATCAGTCTGACCATCAGCTGGCTTATGTGGTCTGAAAAGTGAACTTGAGGCTTTGAGTCCAGGCCAGAGGTCACAGAGAAGCAGGGTTCGGCAACATAGGCTTGAGACCTGGGCCTCACTGTCAGTGAATAACCCTCCTAGTGATCAGCTACTATTACCGTGTTTCTCCAGGCCTCTGCTTCCTCCTCTGTGGCATGGGGTGAAGGCTCTCAATAGTGACCAAGGGTATCCAGCTGCTCCCTCTTCCAGTCAGTCCTGGCAGCTCCAGCCCTGCAGCACAAGGCAGGAAGGTGCTGAGAAAAGAAACCTCCTAGTTGTGCAGTTCCAGCCTTTTGACCTTAGACAATCACTGAGTTTCTTGGAGCCACGTTTGCTTGTTTGGGAAATGGGGATTATACCGTTGTGGGCTGTGAGGACTGAAAGAGGGAACAGCTGCAAAGTACTTCACATACAGTAAAGTTCTCAGTGCAATTTACCCTCCTTCTGGGTGGAGTCCAGCTATCCAAGACCCTTGTCCTCACCTGGAGACTGAGGTGGAGGGATGTTGTGCTTAGGAGATAAATTCAAAGGGAGGGTGGGGAACAGGTTAACCCAGGTTGACAAGAGTCCCTGATGTTGATAGATATGGAGGCTGGACTTGGAGGCCCTTCAGTGCTACCCTATTGCCCCAAGCCTAGGCAGCAGGTGAGTGGTTCTTCCAGCGACTCACACCAGGTATTAGGGAGAGGAGGGCTGGCTTGGGACCCAGGGTGTCAGATGTGGGCGGGCGGGGAAATGGTCAGGGAGGGACTAATAGTGTGGGAGAAGGATGGTCAATGCCCTCAGGGGATACCTCCTCTGGGCAGACACCTTATCCTTGAACCTCAATCCCCAACTAGAAGCTCATTCCCTCTCTGAACTCAGCTGCTCCAGCCCTTCTCTGAGTTCGAATCTCTTCCTTCCTGAGGCTCCGCTTTGTCCCTCTGCGCAGTCCCCTGTGTGGCCTACCCTGGCCGCCCTGGCCCTGTTGAGCAGCGTCGCCGAGACCTCCCTAGGCCCCGCGCCCCACACCCCCGCCACTCATGGAGGCCCTGCGCCAGTTCTGACTCCCCCCGCCGGCCACCTGCCGGGTAGGTGAGCGGACTACGGGGGCCGGGGCAGGGCGGGGGCGGGGCTGACCCGGGACACTGCCCTTGACGCCATCTCATTCCAGGGGGACGCACGATCCGTTTGTGCGGCGGAAAAGCACGGAGGCCACCGCCTCCACCGCCCCGGCCCGCGCCCCCTCCTCCCGCGCTGGTCCGCACGGTACGGGCGGGCAGCCAGAGAAGCCGCGAGAGCCCGGGGAGCCGCGCGGAAGCGCGGGGCTGCCGCCTGCGTGCGCAGCTGGTGCCGGTGCGCGCTCTTGGCCTAGGTCACAGCTCCGACGAGCTGGTGCGTTTCCACTTCTGCAGCGGCTCTTGCCGCCGCGCGCGCACTCCGCACGACCTCAGCTTAGCCAACCTGCTGCGCGCTGGGATCCTGCGGCTGCCCTCCGGCGCCCGGCCTGTCAGCCAGCCCTGCTGCCGACCCACGAGCTACGAGGCAGTCTCTTTCATGGATGTCAACAGTACCTGGAGGACCGTGGACCGCCTCTCAGCCACCTCCTGCGGCTGTCTGGGCTGAGGGCTCACCTAAGGGTTTGCGAACTGAATCTGTACTCGGATCTTCCTGCCCAAAGCCCTCACGTAGCAGCCAGGTGCCTCAACCATACACGGATGGATGCCTCAGATGGGCGTCAGCCAAGGAGAGATGGACCCAAGACAGGACCGGCAGCCCCAAGGCCTGCATCCTGCAGGTCCCAGCACCACCGACACCAGAGACCTCAGCTACAGAGACCACTAAGAACCCATTCCTCAGACGTTGACACTAATCAGGCCACAGACCTGGGACCCCGGCTCTGGAGAAGCAAGCAGCGTGTGAGGCCCTAGCCGAAGCCCTGGGGAATGGAATTGGACAGAGACCTGGCGTTTGCATGGCTGAAAGTACATATGAGGGAGCTGATCTTGTACTCATCGGTGGGAGCTGGACCCCTATTTATTATCTTTTAAGTTATTTATTTACTTATGTGGTTTGTCAAATCCTTTTCTGGGCAGGGGGAGCTGGCTGGAGATCAGGCCCACTCAGCAATCACAGACCTGCATTCCAGGCCTGGCCTGGCCCTCCCACTGCTTACCCTTCCCAGGAGCTCTGGGGTGAGGAATGTGGAACACAGGCTGAGTCTGTGGCAGAGTGTGCACACAGTCCCCGGCACTTGGTCTAGCTGTGGGGAAAGAGACCACAGAGGCTTCTGTGGTGGGTGACCTCAGGTAGCATTGGCTTCTGCACTATCACTGAGCTGGGGCGTCCCATTGAGGGCACTGTCTTAAAAGCATCCTGGCAGGCGCACACATTGCCTGCTTTTAGTTGGGCTGCCTTGAGGAGCTCACTACCCACATCCCATAATGCAGCTCAGTGAGGAAGAGCATGTAAAAAGGCTGAGGGTATAGAAAGAGAGTACAGTGGGAGGGTGCCTTAGGGAGTCCACACAGAAAAAGGCTGAGGAAAAAAGCAAAAAGAACAGGACGGATGGCCCTCAGAGGGACCTGAATCTCGGCTGATGACCAAGGATCTTTATGTACATTTAACCTGGTGTGGCGCTGTGTGTTAATGCGCCAGACTGCAAAGCCATTTGAACGGCAAGCTCACCAGCTTCTCCTCGGAAACCCTATACAGGGTTGCTATGGGTTGAAAATCTACTCGACAGCACTTAACAACAACATGTCACAGAACCAGACCTGCTGGTGGTGTGGGCTAAGTATCGGGCTGGTGGTTTAAGCCAAATAGCCACTTCACAGGAAAAAGATGAGGATGGCTCAGAAAGTCTAAGAAGCAGTTCCAGGGTCACTGTAAGTCAGAATCAACTCGATGACAGTGGGTTTGGTCTTGGTTTTTATGTCAAATAGGTCCCTTGGTTGGTTGGTTGGTTATGTGCAGTGGAGTCAGTTCTGACTCATAGCAACCCTGTATAGGGTTTCCAAGGCTATAAATCTTTATCGGAGCAAAATGCCTCATCTTTCTCCCACGGAACTGCAGGTAGTTTTGAACTACTGACCTTGAGATTAGCAGCCTGACTTGTAACCACTATGCTACCAGAGGTCCCTAGATGGCACAAACAGTTTGTATTTGACTGGTAACTGCAAGATTGGCACTTTGAACCCACCCAGTGGTACCATGGAAGAAGGTCTGCCAGTCACCTTCCATAGAGACTGTTAAGTCCCATTGAATTGGTTCCAACTCATAGCGACCCTGCAGAAGGCTTCTGAGGCTATATCTCTGTGGGAGCAAAAAGCCTCATTTTTCTCTTGTCAAGCAGCTGACTTTGTGGTTGGAAGTCAAGTGTTTATCCTACAGAGTCACAGTTGTACTCTGTAACACATGGGGTCATCATGAGTGGGAATTGACGGCAGCAAGGGTAGGAGAGACAGACAGTAAACAAGCAATTACATAAATAAGTATATAAATTCAATTAGACAAGTGTTATGAAAAAGGACAGGAAGATGAGAGGTAAAAGGAGAGGTCAGTGCTGATCCTGGCTTCTGACTTCTCATAGTGTCCTTGAGTCATCTCCACAAAGGTAGTGAAAAAAACAACACAAAACAAAAAACATTGTAATTGCCGGAACTTTTCAGGAGGCGGATCTGGAGCTGAGGTAGTTTCAGGCACAATCAACACAGGGGTGGTAGCTGCAGCCCGGGGTGAAGGAGAGAACCAGGGAGACATGCTGAGCAAGAACAGGGTTACAGATGGGGCCCCTCAGGCATTGGACACTGTTGACTGAAATTCTTCCCAAACCACTAAGTACCTGCCTGCTTTGACATAGGAGCCCTGTTTGCCCAGGCTAGAGTGAGGAGCTGGCAAGAGCTCTGAGAGCTGAGCCCAATCTAGATCAAGGAGGAAAAATGGATCTGTGTTCCCACTCTTCTGCGTTCATGGGATCTGTTCTGCATGCTCCCCAAACTGGTGCCTTCATGATGTCTCAAGCACTCCTTGGTCCCCTTTTTCCTGCCACCAAATGGACTGAACCTCCAAACTGATTCAAGAGCCTCTGTCTCCACTTCCTTTCACCCTCATAGCCCCTTCTCCTGTCATTCAGCTTGCTGAGAGGTCAGGGTGTCATCTTGTCAATTCCGGAGCCACTGGAATCTAGAGACCCCCTGATGGGGAGACCTAGAAGACTGTTCTGCTCCCCAAATCCTCTGGACTCTGCAAAACAGTAGACGTTGTTCTCAAGCCACTTGACACCCACCCACAACATCTCTGATAATGCTTACAGTGAGAGGGCATGGTCGGAACCCAAGCCACGCTCTCCTCTCAACTTTCATCCCCAGTTTTCCAGTTCCCAGGGAAGTTGATATACCCCAAACTTGAAGCTGCATTCTGACCCCTGGACCCCAAGAGTTTATGCCCAACATCTCACAAAGTCCCAGATGAAACAGCAACTTTTCTAAGAACACATTCCCATAAGAGCCAGCCACTACATATAGTTCATAACAACCCAAATCTCCCTTTTAAAAAATATTTTCCCCCAAAAAAATAGGCTACAGAACTGTGCCGCTGCCTGTAACACAGTAGAGATAACTTATCATATGACCACAAACAGGCAGAGCAATTTAGCTCCTGGGAGCCACGTGGCTTTGGTATCTGGTCTTTGTTTCACATTTGCAAAACCACTGGAACTCTTAGAAGCAGTCAACTTTGTCAGCGCTGCTTGAAGACCTTCTTGCTTTGACTCTTAATCTCATATTCTCCTAGTTTTCCTTCTACCAGTCCAGATGCTCATTCTCAGACTACTTTTGGTTTCCTCTTTTTCTCTTTTGTACAGCAAATTTGCCCAATGCAACACATCATTTGATTTCTTGACTGCTGCTTCCATGAGTGTTGATGGTTGATCAGAGCAAAATGAAGTCTTTGACAACTTCGATCTTTTCTTCATGGATGTTATTTATTGGTCCAATGGCAAGGATTTTTGTTTTCTTTACATTGATTTGCAATCCATACTGAAGGCTGTGCTCTTTGGTCTTCATCAATTCATATTTTAAGTCCTCTTCACTTTCAGCAAGCAAATTTGTATCATCCACATATTGCAGGTTGTTAGTGAGTCTTCCTCCAATCCTGATGCCACGCTTTTCTTCATATAATCCAGCCTCTCAATTACTTGCTCAGCATACAGATTGAATAGGTATGGTGAAAAAATACAACCCTGGCATACATCTTTCCTAATTTTACACCATTTGGTGTTCCTTTGTTCTGTTCAAACTGCATTAAGCAAATCAGCTGCACAAGGCCTCATCAAAAGTGTTGAAGAGCAAAGAGATCAGTTTGAGGACTAAGGTGTGCCTGTCCCAAGCTATGGTATTTTCAATAACTTCATATGTATGCAAAGTTTGGACAGGGAATAAGGAAGATCATAGAAGAATTGATACATTTCAGTTACAGTGTTGGAGGAGAATATTGAAAGTATCATGGATGGCCAAAAGAACAAACCAATCTGTGTTGGAAGAAGTACAGCCAGAATGCTCACTGGAAACCAGGATGGCCAGACTTCATCTCTCATACTTTGGACATATTGTCAGAAGGAACCAGTCCCTTGAGAAGGAAATCATGTTTGGTAAAAAGGAGGGTCAGAGAAAGAGAGGAAGACCCCCAACGAGATGGATTGGCACAGTGGTGGCAGTGATGGGCTTAAATTTAGTAACGATTGTGAGGTTGGCGCAGGACTGGGTAATGTTTCCTTCTGTTGTTCATAGTGTCGCTATGAGTTGGTACCAACTCAATGGCCCTTAATAACAACAACTTCTACTCTTGGCCCCTAAGTATCCCTCAGACCTCGGTTATGGTTCTCGTCTTTGCTCATTTTACTCTCTCCCTGAGCAACATTACCTACTCCCCTGGTCTCAGTTACCACCCCCATGCTGAGAACGCTCAAGTTTTGTCTCTAGCCTAGACTTCCTCCTGAGTTCCATGTTTCTGTTTCAATATTTCCACCTGCATTTTCTCAGGGACCTCAAACTTAATATATTCTGTCCTGGATATCTTCTGTTTGCCCTTCAGACCCACTTTACATCCTTCCCTACCCTGCTCTATGCTTCATATCACCAAGCTACCCTGATTTCCAAATTCCAACCTTCCTCCTTTCTTCCTCCCATACTCCAGCATTCCCATCTCAGTGAATGGCATAAAAATCCATCCAGTGACACAAGCCAAAGGCTTGGGCAACATCCTAGACTCTTCTGCTCTTTCATTTCCATTAACCTTTGGTCATCAACTCCTTAGGTCTCCTAAGTCCAACCCCTTTTTGTGATACACTTAGTTATGTCTCTTCAACAATAACCATAGTCTTTAGAGTCCTGGTAGGATAAACACTGGAGTAGCCACAAGGTCTCTGGTAGTACAGTAGTTACAAGTTGGGCTGCTAACCTCAAGGTCAGCAGTTCAAAACTACCAGCCATGCTGCAGGAGAAAGATGAGGCTTTCTGCTCCCGTAAAGATTTACAGCCTCGGAAACCCTATACAGGGTCACTATGAGTCAGAACCGACTCCACAGCACATCACCACAACCACCACCAACCACAAGGTCAGAGGTT